CATACAAAGCAGAACACAGCTAAATGTATCAAAAGCATTTCTATGTAATATTAGAAATTTCTGAGACAATGAATTTTGGTTTTTCATTTTTTCCCCCCAGTAAGAGGTTTTTATTTAATAGAATTTTTGGACAAAAAAAATTGCAATATATCGCGATATATCGCCTTGCTTATAGTATCGCAATATATCGGGATGTATCGTATCGTGACCCCTCTGTCATGATATGTATCATATCGCCAAATTCTTGCCAATACACAGCCCTAATGTTTTGCTGTGTGATTTGCATGCTTTCTTTTAAAGCTAACAAGAAAATTAGTGAGGAGGTAACAATACATCAATCCACATCAATATATTGATTAAATGATTAATGATTCAATAGCATCAAAGCCAAATAAAAACATTGACCCATCTGTCATCACATGTCCAAAGTGGACATATTTTGGTTTGGTTACTTTATTTATGCCCAAAGGTTGATTAGCTTTGCGGTGGTACAAAGCATACATATCGTGAACACACACACTATAAAAAGTTTATAATATAATATCAATCATAAACTTGTGAGCTGGATTGAATCAAAACTTTATCATGACAATTTTTTTGACATCGAATAGGGATGCACGATATATCGGTATTAATATCGGTATCGGCCGATATTGGTCATTTTTTTAGAATATCGTATCGGTCTGACATGTAAAACTGGGCCGGTATTAACATCCGATATTGATTTCCCACTTTTTATCTTGTTTTTGTTTTGGGAGGAGAGGTGGTTGGTTGAGCGACATCAGTTTGATCATGATAGTGATCGACGCTGCGTAGCCAGGAATAACTGAAGTATACAGTCATGTCAGAGGTCTGGTTGTTTATTTACAGTATCAGTTAAAAAAAACACTCAAGTGTGTTTGTGCGTATATGTATAATATAATTTGCGTGTTTATCAGTAAATATTGGTTATCGGTAGGGCTGTGTATTGGCAAGAATTTGGCGATACGATACATATCATGACAGAGGGGTCACGATACGATATATCCCGATATATTGCGATACTATAAGCAAGGCGATATATTGCGATTTTTTTGGTCCAAAAACTCTGTTAAATAAAAACCTCTTACAGGGGAAAAAAATGAAAAACCAAAATTCATTGTCTCAGAAAATTCTAATATCACATAGACATACTTTACATTTAGCTGTGTTCTACTT